GGTGTTGCATGCATCAGTCCAAAAGATGTTAAATAAAAAGCGCTCATCCATAAAAAAAGTGTCTCACATGGCTCCGGGGCGTGAACAAAGGCCTCCTGTAGCGAATCGATGCGTTTTTGTAAGAAAAATATCCATATTCAAAACAAAATAATCACTTTAATGTAGCTTGCACCAACAGTTGTACACGGAAGCAGTTCCGGGCTGATGACGCATGAGTTCAGCGCTGCGCATGCGCCGGTGAGTCTTGTGAAAACCAACGTTTGTTAACAGGAGCAAAGGAAGCAAAGTTTCCTTACTTTAGCAAAGGAAAACCAGTCTCCTCTTGGCTTATATCGAAATCCTCCAACATTCTTCTTTACATATCCTCGTTTTGTACTTCTAATTAGTGACTGTTGTTTTGTTTTGATCTCTCCGCTGCGCTTCCGTGTTCGTCACTTCTGAGCGGTGCATGCGCAAAACTGAACTCTTACGTCATTCCCCCGGAACTGCTTCCGTGTTCAACTGTTGGCGCAAGCTACATTAAAGTGATTATTAAGTTTTGAATATGGATATTTTTCTTACAAAAACGCATCGATTCGCTACAGGAGGCCTTTGTTCACGCCCCGGAGCCATGTGAGACACTTTTTTTATGGATGAGCGCTTTTTATTTAACATCTTTTGGACTGATGCATGCAACACCTGCTGAGTGGCATTAAACAGCTTGAAAGATCAAAGACAAGTTTTAATATAACTCCGACTGGATTCATCTGAAAGAGGAAAGTCATATACACCTAGAATGACTTCAGAGCGAGTAATTTATGGGCTAATTTTCATTTTTGGGTGAACTAACCCTTTAATCTGGAGAAATGCTTATTTGTGTTAACAGAGGTTGACTTTGTTGGCTATGATGGTTCAGCTGAAGGCCATTTACCATTCCACTCCAATATTGAGGCTATACATCAAGTGCCAGAGCCTTCGTCTGCAGCACAGACACTATGCCATTATCCCTGTTAAACTAGGACAAGCACTGGCCATGATGCACGATTGCCATCTTGGCACAGTTAAACTTAAAGCAGCATTGTAAGGATATTGTACGGTGGCCAGGGTTGGACAAAGACATTGAGCAGCTTGTTCAGGACTGTAATCCATGTCTTTTAACAAGGATAACTGGCCCACTGGGGTCTTCGCCTTGGCCAACTAAACCTTGGGACCACATTCAACTTGATATCTGTGGTGAACTCCATGATGTGCACTGTCATTTGCATTGCCTTGTGGTAGTTTATAATCTACACTCAAATTTGCTTGCACTGTGAGCTCTATCACATCCAGTTCAATCACTGATTTGCTCTTTGCATTGAGTTGCTCTTTGCCAGCTGGGGCCTACCAAGGAACTTGACAACAGACAATGGCCCTCAACTAGTATTTGCTGAGTTTGCCAGTTACATCCAAAGCAAAAGGATCAAACAAATACGAAGAGCTTACTATCAGTCACAGTCAAATAGGTGCGTAGAGAGATTTAATCAGTCACTGAAAAATGGTCTGAGAGCTTACTTGGCTCAAGACAGCTCTTTTAACAAGGCCTTGTTTCAAACTCTTCTACACTACAGAGCTGCTCATCATGCCACAACTGCAGACTTCGCCCTCCTATTTCTCACAGTGGAAACCCCGTGGTGTAAGCCAGGATACATGGACAACAGCTCAAAGCACAGGGTAGATATCATGCAAATAAAAAGTCCCGGATTCCCAGAATTATCCTGCTGAACTAGGTGTGGGTTCAGCGGCCACACAAGAAAACAAGCTTCACACTTTCCAGCTATCTGATGGTTTCCGTTGACATGCCAGTCATTTTAGGAAAGTACTGTGCCCTTCTGGAGTGGTTCACACCGTAGTTCTTCATGCCCTCTGCGCCCAGCACAGAATCCGGTGACCCCTTCCAGTGACATAGCTCACTGGAAAGGGAGGGGAAATGTTAGTTAGTTAGACTAATTATCTGATAGTATGTTGAAGTAAAGTGTTTGTTAAATTAATACAATAGAATGAACGGTGGCTACTTTAAGGGTTTGGAACGTGAAGTGACGCTGACACTTGAATGTTTTCACACAATTTAGTGATGTTAAAGACGAGAACAATAAAAATCTAAATAAGCTCAAGTACGAGTCACCTTTACAGACATAACAGGGATGGCCATTTGTAGTGGTGTCCAAAACACTACTGAGTGCACTTATTCAATCCCCATAATGCACTGCAATAGCGGGTGTACAACTGATGTACACTCAATGGCTAGAGAATACCCATAATGCACTGTGAGGGTTGTGCAAATATACATAAATATATTTATTTTTAACTGATTATTAAATAGTTTAATTAAGGTTCATACATACTAGTTTAAGACAAATGTTTTCATTACCACTGGAGCTGCCAGTTTGCTAAGTTTCAAATGATTATTGAACAGCAAGCACAAACTATGCAAAAGCAACAGCACTCAGTGTCCGAATTCACTCACTCATTTTCATTCACTTCTTTAACTGAACTGTATTAATGGACTAATGTAGGGCATAGTTATGGGGGCGATTTCGAACACAGCCCAATACTTGAAATGGATGGGTTGGATAAGGGAGACATTCAAAATGTGTACTTATGTGCCTTCAGGGACACGGTTCAGAAACACTGGGTTACTGTATATAAATAAACACAAATAAAATAGTATATTATATATCAAATATAAACATACAGTGAAAGGCCACACTACAGTTTGCATCTGTTCCTGTTTGGTACCCTTCTGGTGCTAGAGCCCAGGCAAAAGTGTAGTAATCATTCACTGTCAGCCATCCCACCTGTGAAACAAGATAGCATAAAATGTATTTGCTTTGTTTTGTACTAAATAAACACAGTGTTTAATTCAGTACAGGAGTTACCTTAAAAAGACCTATCCAGTCATGACTGCTCCAGCTGTGATGACTGCTTATAGTGTAGCGACAGTCCACCCTTGTCTGTGAGAAATAGCTCTTGGCAACATCTCGGAAAGTCACAGTTCTCTTTTCCTCCATAGCAATGGCTATAAATCAGGTCATATGACTGCACTGACAAAGAAATCAGTCAAACAGTGCGCAAAAAAAAAAGTTTTGTAACTTGTTCAGTATCAAAGACCATAACACTGCTGTTCATTGCTTGAAAATAACTAAAGTGACTGAAAATGTGAATCAACACAATCATGTTTGTGTAGTCAACTATATTTAGTGCATTTCCATTAAACTACAGCAATGCTTGACACTGCATCTGACTGCTATTAGATTTCCATGTGTTGTGAAACTGCATGAGAGTGGGGTAACAGCATTCTTTCTTTGAATGTTTACTCAGAAGTAGCAGTCAAGTCAAATAGCCTGTACTCATCATCGTTTAATGATCTTCAACATTTCTAATCTTTTAATTTAATCATTTTATACGCACTTAAATATAAAATATAACCCTTGGTGCTTTTTTGTAAAAATCAATTGTAGTTTTCACATATAAAATCTTGTTTAGATATATTGACACCTGAATATGTCAGCGAATGTTTTACTTATGATGATCTTTTCAGTAAGTAAAATGTCACTCATTTCACACATTCATTTACGTTTGGTAGACAGTTTCTCACAAATTAATTTACAATGGAATCAAGCCATACATTTTCTCAATATATATGCTCCCTAGTTAAACCTATGACCTTGGATTTGGGTGTTCTACCAAATTCAGCTACACAAACTTTAATCATGAACATCAGAAAATTAACATTCAAATGAACAAAATAAAAATATTTCTTTTTTTTCTTTTTTTAATTCTACATTTAAAATGTCACAGGAACAACATAGTTAAAATATCAGCATACATTTTACTCTTACCTTAATACAAAATTAGGTTTATCGAAGAATCAGATCACCTGAGGTCTTCCATGTCCTTGTATGTGTGCCTATGATCTTGATGAGACTTAAGTTGAGTGTGTGAGTGTAATAAACAATAACAAATGCACATGTCAATGAACCACCCACCTCTGTTGCACTCTGGGAAATGAAGTCTAAAACATTATAAAGCAAAACTTTAAAAAAGATAATCTCTCCCATGAACTTCCAAAATACAAACAGCATGTTACATGCCCTACCAGAGACAGTAATATAGTTGACCACTGTTATACCACAGTAAAGGATGCATATCACTCTGTCCCACGGGCAGCTGTGGGGCTCTCTGATTACTGTCTGGTTTATCTTATACCAACCTACAGGCAGAAACTAAAATCAGCTAAACCTGTAACAAGGACTATATAAAGATGGACTAATGGAGCAGAGCGGGAGCCATGTGACATGTTGCCAAGTATGGTAACCCATACAATCCACCCATCAAAGTGCACACATACAGCAGTGAGTAGTGAACAACGCACACACACGCTGTGAACACACACCCAGAGCAGTGGGCAGCCACTGGAGCAGTTGAGGGTTTGGTGTCTTGCTCAAGGGTCTCACCTCAGTCGTGGTATTGAGGGTGGAGGTATTCACTCCCCCACCCACAATCCCTGCTGGTACTGAGACTCAAACCCATGACCTTCAGGCACCCGACACATCTCTAATTGCAATGCTCTTTCTGGATATCGCTAAGGCATTTGACACCATCTCCCACACTACCATCTTGGAGGTGGCAAAAGCTGCTGGCACACCTTACCCATTGATAAACTACTGTACCTTGCCCATCTGTACATGGAGACAGAATGAAATCTAGGCTCGAGGACCATTATGTGTGGAAGGGGTGTTAAACAAGGCGATCATCTTTCCCCGCTCTTGTTCATCCTTGCAATGGATAAAGCAGTGCAGGCAGCATGCCCAGAGAAAGGGATAAAGATAGGAGACCAACATTTCGATGCCATAGCCTATGCAGACGATCTTTTGTTGATCACCAGAAATAGTGACGATCTTCAAATCAAGTTGTACAGGCTCTGTAAGAGATTCCGGCAATGGGGGTCTTGGATACCCAAAAGATACCTGGGCCTGACTTTCACCTGGAAAGGGAAAGTTGTTCCAAAACATACTGGACAACTGGAAAGAATGCTGCATGAAGTTACGTAGGCTCCGATAAAACCCTATCAAATACTGGAAATACTTAAGACCTTCTGGGTCCCAAGACTGGTCCACAAACTCATTTTCGGAGGGGTACACAGGAATACCCTGACAAAAATGGACAGGGTGATAAGGGAAGAGGTTAGGAAGTGGATACGACTACCAAAAGACTACCATACCTCCATGCGCCTATCCAGGCAGGAGGTCTCACTCACCCTCATGAATCCATATGAATTGAACGGTTTAATCCAAATTATGTAAGTAGATAGGGCTGCACAATTAATCAAATGTCTAATCGTGATTATAATTATGGATGCCACAATTACGTAATCGTTCAAAGGCGCAAGTACAAAAAAAGTATATTATTACACTTATATTATTCTCTATGCTTAAGATGTGTTTTTTTTCTAACTACAGGTTATCTTAAGGTTCTTTTTTTTCTCCATCGTTTTATTTTAGTATAACTTTATAATACCATGCATGTTTTACTTCTCTTTTTTAATTTCATGAAGAAACCAAACCAATGCATAGCTGACATCTGAGGCTTAATGCTACAGAAAAGCAATAAAAAATGTTTAGGAAGGATAAGGGAAGAGGTTAGGAAGTGGATACGACTACCAAAAGACACCCTACTGGCATACCTCCATGCGCCTATCCAGGCAGGAGGTCTCACTCACCCTCATGAATCCATATGAATTGAACGGTTTAATACAAATTATGTAAGTAGATAGGGCTGCACAATTAATCAAATGTCTAATCGTGATTATAATTATGGATGCCACAATTACGTAATCGTTCAAAGGCGCAAGTACAAAAAAAGTATATTATTACACTTATATTATTCTCTATGCTTAAGATGTGTTTTTTTTCTAACTACAGGTTATCTTAAGGTTCTTTTTTTTCTCCATCGTTTTATTTTAGTATAACTTTATAATACCATGCATGTTTTACTTCTCTTTTTTAATTTCATGAAGAAACCAAACCAATGCATAGCTGACATCTGAGGCTTAATGCTACAGAAAAGCAATAAAAAATGTTTAGGAAGAGTGTTTTTGAGTTTTTTTATTTATTTTTTTATTGCCAGGTATGTTTACACATACGAGGAATTTGTTTTCATGACAGAAGCTCCACAGTGTAACAGAATGACAGTGACAGAACAAAAACACAGATAATAAAAAATAGAAAAATAGAACAAGTAACTAAGGAATAAAAATATACAAATCGACAATTGTATGTACAGGTATAACAATAGACAGTTGTATGTACAGGAAGAGTGTTTTTGAGTTTTTTTGAGTTTTTTTGAGTTTTTTTTTATTTATTTTTATTGCCAGGTATGTTTACACATACGAGGAATTTGTTTTCATGACAGAAGCTCCACAGTGTAACAGAATGACAGTCAAAACATAATTTAATGTAAATTGTGATAATCAATTAATTAAATTAATAAATTAATAGACTAGTGAGCTAACCCATTAAGGGCATTATAGGCAAGTAATAATATTTTGTAGTTTTTTTTTTTCTCACAGACAGCAACACTAAAAATACGGTCTTTTCCAACATGATGCATTGTTGCAGATTAAACTACCCAACAGTATATTTAGTTGGCAACTTTAAATTTAATAACCTTGAAGATATTCTTAAGTAAAATAGCTTTTCCCCAATATGGTATTGGTAGTTACTAAAAGTAGTTTACTAAAGTATCTCAATATTTATTCTACTAATTACTTTGTCATAGCTCTAAACAATTTCTCTTTTCCTTCTTTTCCTAAATTGGTTTTCGGCTGAACAGGGAGGCCCTGACAGTGCTGCTGGATCTTCTGAGAAGTGAATGGCAACACAGATGGAGTGCCACAATCCAGACCCTGGTGTTTCTCTTCTGTCTGCCAGTGGTACATCATACCGAGTGGTCTCCAGAGAGTTTGACATGCCTCGTTCCAGTGTCACCGCATTGTCCTCCGAGTCGCTGAGGAGGTGCTGGCCATTCACCAAGAGATTCACCTCCCGAAGACCCCAGAACACATGGAGGCAGGGCTGGGCTCAAAGCTGATATTGTTTTTCTGGTGTTAAACCTAAGCTAGGTTGTAAATAGTATGTTGTATGTTGTAAAAAAGTACTTTCAGTAATATATAGAACAATTTGTTTAAATGTGTAAAAAAAATTATTTACCGGACAAATAAAATAAACATAGAAGAATGTTTTGTAAAAAAAATTATAAGCTGCATAAAAAAAAAACAATGTACATAATTACTTCTCTTTTATTTACACATGTGAATATGCAAAACAAAAATACAAAATGTACAGAAAGTACTCTGGCTCATTTACAAATAAATTACACTACAAAAATGAATAATGTATACAACTTATTCATTTCACTTTGAACTTACATCACAAAAATAAACTACAGAAATTAGGTTGTTTCATTGATAATGTGACATTTAAAAAAAAGATATTGAAAAATTGTAATGCACCCATTTTTTCCCCACTGTTTTCTCTTGGTATTTGTTAAGCATTCTCTCAAGAAGTGAAAACAGTCCCTCCATTCTCTCCCTGCTCACCTGTGCTCTTCTCTCCTCTGTCTCTCTCTGGAGTTTGATGTCCTCCCTGAGTAACTCCACCAGCTCACCACTCACTCTCTCACCTGTCCCAGGACACTTGCAATCCTAAGGCAGAGCAAATAAACCATGCCTGTTAACAACAACAGCACAATAAATTTCAGCAAAAATGTGTCTATTAACTTGCTTACTTTGTATTTTTTAAGTCTTTCCCCAGCAGGCTCATTTTCTCCAGAATAGTCCTAGACGCTTTAATATGTTATGCGTTTTATTAGACAGGTGACGACTGCTCAGAGTAGCATTATAACATAACTTTCAAAGTATCTAGTATGATAAAACAGCGCTGCTTTACCCCACATACGCACGACCGGAAGCAGCGGAAGCGCTCGACTGTGGCATAATAAAAGCTCCGCTGTTTTCAAGCCGTCTGTCGCGCTCGTTCAGCGGCCTCATTTCGCTTCGACGGCTTTCAGCCTCACCCTGCTTCATTCTACTACGTTAATAAATCATTATCTCATCCATGAACATGATTTCTGCCCGAGTCCCGTCAGATTGCATCGGCTGTGGGGATGAAGACGACAACTCCCATGATTCCACACTCAGTCACGACGTCATCAAACTACGCCTTTGTTTCTTGTTTGTTTTGAATACGTGCCCTCTAGCGGCGAAAAATTACATATTGTGCCTTTAACATTAGAAAATATCACACAGCAGGACATGCATACAAAATACTGAAGTGCTAAAGTTTGGTTATAACATTTGTAGACATGACAGCACTACAAAAACACAACAAAAAAAGACTATTGTCTTATATAGTGGTTGTCTTATTGTTTGTGGGCTTTGTTTTTTTTGTGTGTTTTTTTTTTTAAACCTGGCTTTTAACACTTGTTTCGCTAGGTATTTGAGTAAATGAAAACACAATGCTTACATTTCAATGTGAATTCCCCCACAGAATTGTCATCCTCCATGTTCTTTGAATATAAATTCCATCTTCATCTGCGCGCAAGTGATTCTGGGATATGGTAGGGTGCAAAGTGTCCATCAGATGTACACTTCATTTTCCTGGGAAACGGAGGGTGCATTTGAAGTCGAAATACGTTAGCCTTTGTCGCGCCGCGGTGACGCAATCGGCCTTGGAATGCAGTCTTCGGAGGGTGCATCCTGAATTGGGACAGCTTACATCGTGACTGGGAGACGTTGGAACGCAGTTCGTTTCTCCAAGTGTGCTGGAAAGGTAATGGAGGATTCCTTCAAGGACTCTCTTGCAGATCCAAATAAATGCCCAAGGAGTGTGAGGATGAAGAGGAG